TCAATGAATAATAAAAAATAATTATTCTTATCAAATGATGATGGAGAAATTGGACCACAAACATCCGAATGGATAAGTTGTAGTGGCGCCGTAGCTTTTGTGGTAGCTTCTTTAGGAAAATTTTTCCTTAATTGCTTTCCAACGAGACATCCTTCACATAATTGATTTGGATTGCTAATGAAAGGCAATCCCTTCACCATCTTCTTTTTAGCCAACAACTCTAATTCTTTAAAATTCAAGTGCCCAAGTCTCAAGTGCCAAAGCCAAGTTAAATTATTAAAATAACGCTTCAAACATTTAGCCTCGTCAGCTTGAATATTTAGCAAAAATATCTGGTTCTTTGTCATTAGAACCTTGGCAATCAAATTACCCAATGGGTCTCTTATCGAAAGACTACAATCCTTTATGGAAATATTGTAGCCTTTTTCTAAGAGTTGTCCCAAACTCAAAATATTATTCTTCATATTAGGCACATAATAAACATTAGAGATAAATTGATGATGCCCATTCCTCAAACGAATCAATATTTTACCTTTCCCTCTTATCGGAATTTGTGATAAGTCTCCAAATGTCACCTTGCCATTTATTGATTCATCAATATCAACGAACTTCTCTTTGCTACCACACATATGATTGCTAGCACCAGTGTTAAGATACCACACAACTTCTTGATCACTCATTTCACCTTTGTATGCCAACAACAAAGTTGGCTCCACTTCTTCATCAACAAAATTAGCCTTTTCTTCAACATCGTTAGCAACATTTCTATATTCCGAAGCATAATGACCATATTTTTGACAATTGTAAAATTGAATTTGAGACTTATCATACCTCCTTCTATATGACCTTGAGTAATTTCCTCTACCACGACCTCTTATTTGTTATAAGTCATAGACTTTTTCTTCATTGTTGGTTGCGTGTTGACAGCTTCTTTCTCCTCTTCCATGGCCTCTTCCTCTTCCTCGGCCACGTGCATTTCCACGTCCTCGGCCCCTTTGATTTCCTCCATGTTTTTTTGTCTCTTTCGTTCAACGAAAACTTTGTTTGTAGCACTTGCTCCAAAGCTTTTTGTTTCTTCACCACCTTTTCTTCATGAGCTTGCAACGAACCCATGAGTTGATCAATAGTCATGGAATCCAAATCATTTGACTCTTCAATGGCTACAACAATGTAATTGAATTTGGAATCCAACGACCGAAGGATCTTTTCAACGACCCTTGTATCAGTCATGGTGGTTTCGCCATATCTCCTTAGTTGATTTACAATAACTAGGACCCTCGAAAATTAATTTGAAATTGATTCAGATTCCTTCATATGCAATGCTTTAAATTCACCCCGTAACGTTTGGAGGCGAACCTTCTTCACTTTATCAATTCCTTGGAAGGAATTTTGAAGAATCTCCCATAGTTGCTTTGCATTTTCTGCACTAGCAACTCTTTGTAGTATTCCATCATCCAAACATTGATAGATGGTCATTACCGCCATTTGGTCCTTCTTTCTCATGGCTTGTAAAACATCTTTTTCGACTTGAGACAGAGTCGCCTCATCTTCTGGCTCATCATAACCTTTGGAAACAACTTCCCACACATTTTGTGCTCCCAAAATTGCCTTCATACAGATACACCAATTTTCATAGTTATCTTTGGTGAATCGAGGCATTTGAAATGAAACCGAATTGTTTGCCATTTCTTCTCTCTCTCACAAACTATCTCTGATACCACTTTGTTGGAAATAGTGGCCTAGTTACACACACAACACTATACAATTTGGAAGAGAATAAAAATGGAAGAAAACACTTTTTATTTCACTTAATGGAAAATGGGTACAATACATAAGTTTATATAGGCTTCAAAATATAAATGTAAATGAAAAATTAACACCCCACTAACATAAGATTTAGTAGGCAAAACTCCCACTAACCCACTAACATGACCATTACTAGTTGTAACTCTCATGCCCCCCACTAACTCCAATAAAAACTCACATAAATATAAAATTAATCACCAAATAAAAAGCACCCATGACCTTCAAAGACATTTTACAAATATAATAAAGTTTAATTTCCAACATATTTCACACTCTGGAGACGTTCCTGTTCTGACCAAATTTTAGATTTTGTTGCTCTCACGCTTCCGCTTCATGTGACTTAATTCCTAGCATGCTTTATATACTATGAACACAAGAATTTAACTTGGTTAAGCAATGTTCCTACGTCCACCGGAAATGAGTTTTTCTGATTCTGAAAATAATAATGCCAATCAAGCTTCGTTCGATGAAGACTGCAACAACTGAATAGTTGTGGAATGGGAGAATTTGGGCGGGAGAGTCATGAGAGCAACCGGTACAAGGGCGTTATTGCTAGCTAGGGAGTCAATATTGCTAGTGTTTGAATTGGTATAAGGCTAGCAATTTGTGGGACCCAGAGGAAGACTAGCAAAGTACATCGCAACTACTAACAATAGCATTGCGAGCCAAATAAGGCCCCACCTGCTGCAGCAACGGCTCTTTTCCCTTTGTTTTTTTTTTTTTGTTTTTTTTTTTTTTCTTTTCTTTGGCCCACAACTGCTTGGCTGTTTTCCCTTTTTTTTTTTTTTTTGTTTTGTTTTGGTTTTTTTCTTTACTATTTCTTTTTATATGTAATTTATTTTTATTGTAAAAAATAAATTTATGATTTTGATTATTTTATTTTATTTTTTATTTTGAAATAAATATTTATGATTTCAAAATTTGTCAACAAATATATATGAATTTTTTAAAACAAAAAATCATATTGTTAGAAATGGCCTTTTTTTTTTTTTTTTTTTTATTTATTTTTTTTTTTTTATATGTAATTTAATTTTATTGTAATTTTTTTTTTTATTTTATGATTTTGATTTTTTTTTTCTTTAAAATTTGTCAATAAATATATAAGAAAAAAAAATTGTAAAGTAATATTTTATTCATCACAAACATATAATATGAAGAAATACATTTTACTCAATATTATCGTTAAACCTCTTCATTGCCAAATTTATTCCACAAATGCCCCATAAGATCTCTCCTGAGATCTCCATTGTTTTCTACATTGCGAATCCTGCTGAGGCGAGTGGAGATGTGTGCTGCCAAAAATGATCGGTCTCGATTGTACTGTATAAGGTAGACCGACTCATCCGTTGGAGGTGTCCATTCCAAAATGTTAGTGTCGCCCTCGTCTTCTATGATCATGTTGTGCAATATGATGCACGTTCTCATTATCTTGCTTAGGTCTTCTTTCTTCCAATAATATACTGGTCCATGCGTTATAGCCAACCTTATCTGTAACACACTAAAATGCCCATTCAACATCCTTTTTAACGGCTTCTTGTCTTTGAGCAAACAATTTATCTTTTTCAGTAGTTGGGTACGGGATGGTTTGAATCAAAGTTGCCCACTTAGGGTATATACCATCAGATAGGTAATACTCCAAGGTACGGTGATGTTCAATCACCTCGTAATTAACTGGAGGCATTGTACCATTAATGATACGATTGAATACTGGGGAATGATCTAAGACATTCACGTCATTGTGTGAACCAGCCATACCAAAGAAAGCATGTCAGATCCATAGATTTTTTAATGCAACCGCCTCCAATATGAGGGTAGGCTTACGACCTCTCCCCTTGTGTGTGCCATGCCACCCTTTAGGGTAATTCTTTCATTTCCAATGCATACAATCTATAGAGCCAAGCATACCTGGGAATCCTCTTTCTTCCCCTTCTTGAAGTAAACGTGCAATGTCGCTTTCGTTTGGCGAGCGTAGGTCAGCTCCACATACAATGCAATTACAGCATCACAAAATCTCTTTAAGCTTTCAATCACAATGCGCTCTCCAACCTTTATGTACTCATCACAAAGATCTGCTGAAATTCCATAGGCAAGTATACGTATTGCTGCTGTCATCTTCTATATAGGGGTGCACCCCATACGACCAATAGCATCGGGCTTCTGTTTGAAGAAATTGTCATAAGTTGTAATATCGTTCAAAATGCGAAGAAATAATTGTCGTCGCATTCTAAACCGTCCACAAAAGTATTTAGGTGGAAACACTGGATTTTCAGCGAAGTAATCTTTCCAGAGTTGTTGTGCTGCATCCTCCCGATCACGTTTAATAAATTGTCTCTTCTTTAGTTTAAATAATGCTTTTAGATTCTCAAGTGTAAAAATACCCAGAATCGTTTTGATCATTTTTTGATGGAATTGATAAACCGCCTCCCGATCAGAATCTGACGAATTTTCTGAAGAATCAGATTCGGAGATTTGAAAAGATTATGATGATGATGCCATTTTTTTTTCTTATATAAAAGTTGAGAATTCAGAGAAGAGAAAAAGTGGTGGAGGAATCAAATAAGAGAAAATATGGACTTGAGGAATGAAGGAAAAGAAAATGGACTTGAGCAATTACAAAAGACTAAATTAGTGGTTTATATAGCCGTTGAAATATAGCCGTTAGAAATATAGCTGTTGAGAATATAGCCGTTGGAATATATCCGTTGGGAATATAGCCGTTGGGAATATAGCAGTTGAGAATACAACAATCTCTATAAATACAACACTCATTTCACTCAATACTCATCATTCAACACTCATTTCTCTCATCCTTCAACATTCATTTCACTAAATCATCATCCTTCGACATTCAATAGATCAGCGACCTCCATTCAACAACCCTCATTTTAACCAATATGGAAACTTCGAAATACCATCTCAATTCAAGTCTGGGTGGCACTCTCAAGATCCAATCTATTCTGAATATACATCTCAGCCCCAATTCCAAAACCAAATTTATCCAGAATACACACCTCAATTTCAAAATCCATTTGGTCACCCTTACACATCTCAATTCCAAAATCCATCTCAATAACCCCTATACACACCTCAATTCCAAAATTCCTCTCAACCTTCTCAATCACAGCCACCCTCAAAGAAAAAAGGGTGGGAATTGGTCCGAAGAAGAAGATATAGCATTGTGCAAAGCATGGATCATGATTGGTGAAGATCCAGTGACGGGTACAGATCAAAGTATGGGTACATTGTGGCAACGAATTCAAGCTCATTGGGTTAGGCAATTGGGAGACAAGATAACTGAAGAAAGATCACACAGTGCTCTGATGAACCATTTTTCAAACTTTCAACGTGATGTAAACAAATTTTTAGGATACTACAAAAATGTCCACGACAATCCAATCAGTGGTTACAACGAGTATGATATGGTAAATTTTTACTTTGTACGATATTTTTTTATTCTTAATTTTAATCCAACTTATTAATTTTAATGATTATTTATTTTTTATAGATGAATGCTGTTAAAGAACTATATAAACTTCAACAAAAAAAAAAAAAAAAATTAAATACGAGCATTGTTGGAATGTTCTTTGGGATTCGGAAAAATGACAGATGCATTGCAACGTTAACAAAAATCTAACTAGACGACTAATGAAAAGAGGTGTTGATCTTGATATTAATGAGCCAAGAAATTGGTCAGAATCGACTCCAACAACACCAAGTTCATCAACTCCTACAATATCAACTCCAGGGTCGATAAATCTTGGTGATGACGATACACCAGTCGATACCGAAGGTTCGAATATGTCACGTCCCAAGGGACAAAAAACAAGGAAGATTCGTAAAAAGAAAACGCCATCTCTTGAAGCAAGTATTCTTAAACAATTGGAAGCTATAACAGCACAAGGCGTCATGTTTGGTGAAGCAGGTGTGGAAGGAGAGCGAATGAGACTTCAACTTTCCATGGAGAAACAACGGACTAAGCAGTTGGCGATAGAATCAAATTTGGAGAAAGAACGGACTAAACAGTTAGAAATAAAAACAAGAGAAAGGATGGCTAAAATGGAGTTTGAAAGAGATATAATGCGTTAAGATCCATCGAAGGCTCCAACAGACGCATCAAAGGCATGGATCATTCAACAACAAAATCAAATCTTAAATAAACTAAATGAAGGTGGTGGTCATATGTAATTTATTTATATTTGTGAGAAAATATGTAATGTCTTTTTTTATTTTATTTATGTAATTGGGAGAAAATATGTAATGTCTTTTTATTTATTTTATTTATGTAATTGTGAGAAAATATGTAATGTATTTTGATTTATTTAATTATAAGAAAATATATTAATTTAAATGTATGAAAAGAAGTATTCTATTCAAATATATAATAAAAAAAATTTCAAGTGGTTGAAAAAGTAGCCGTTTTAAAAAATACAAGCAAAAATAATAAAATAATAGATATCAATTAACCCATACCGTGACTAAAAGACAGCAATATATAATAAAAAATTTCAAGTGGTTGAAATAGTAGCCGTTTTATAAAATACAAGCAAACAAAAAAATAAATATGTTTTTAATTTTTTTTACTTAAAATATTAAATGTATTAAAAAAGTACAACAAAAAGTAATAAAATAATATATATCAATTAACCCATACCGTGCCCGAATGATAGCAATACACTGTTGCTAGCCACGTCAGCACAATTGCCATCAGCACAATTGCTGATGTGGCTAGCAATCCAACAAAGTTTCGCTAACCTGTACTGCTAGCATTATACCACTTGCCCTGAGAGGTTCATCTCCACTCAGCTTTCTCACTGCCATTCCTAATGCATATCCTAGAGCACGAGCAACTGGAACAGACACTGCATTCCCCACTTGACAATATCTGCAGAGGTCCAAAAATGGAGTTCAAATGTTAAAACAAATATGAAGTTCATTGAACACACCAAAGTGAATTCGACTAAAACAAGAAGCCGGTCCTCACGAAAATATAACCAGAAAGAACCAACTTAAAAGTTCAACCAAGCGTTGATTGCAGATTCGAATATTATCACAGCCACATTACACTAAAAGTTAAGCGTGCAATCCATTTGAAATTGAATATTAAAGTCGAACAATTACTCTCCATGTCAAATATATTTACTAATTATCTTACTTATCTCATTTGGTTTAATTATTTTTATTTGTGTAGTATGTTATTATTTATTTTGTGTCAATAAAAATATAAATTTTTTTATTTTCAAAAAAAAAATATAAATATAAATTTTTGCAAAGATTTTCATCATATAATTTTTAATTTTTAATCGTTAATAAGTAAATGAACCAATAAGTGTGTCATTATATTTAGCACACCAAGATACATCCTTATAATACTAAGGGGTAAAAATTATATTAATTTGGTCCCAAGTATTATTAAAAAAAGACAAATATTTATATGTAGTAGTAGAATTTCATTTAGCTGCAAGAATTTTCCCATTGCATGTTACTATTTTTGTGGGAGTATTGGGCTTAGGACAACACCTCATCGTATTTATTTATTTTTTTTTTTAAGGAAACAAATCTTGCATATATATATGTTAGGCGAGTGGGACCAGTTAGATTTCTCGAGAACCTCGATCTTCACTTCTTCATTAAGTTTGACCGGTTCGCAAAAATACACCAGGCCATACTCTTCCAAAATCCTGCAATCTGATAGAATTTGAGTCACAGAGTCTTCCCAAGTGCATTGTGGGTGTTAATTACAGGACAAAAAATAAAAGAAAAAGTATTTCATTATTAAATTTTTAGTTCTCTTTTAATATGTTTGAATTAACCATTAGTTTGTAACATTGTGATATGATACGAAATTAACTACTTGAAATATCAAGTTCAAAAATGCATATTTAAAATCTTCCCAATTTGAACATGTGGTTTTCAATATCTCTCTCTTATTTTTTTTAAATGCTTCTTTAAAATTGACTAATAATTCATTTATCAGTTGTTCTCTCTCCCCCTTCTAATAAGGAAGTTTGGGCAATTCGTCAGTAGAAAATCGTATTTGATTCTATGATGCAAGACTCTGATTGGTACAGAACTATCTTGAGCCAATATAACAAAAACCTAATTGTCATAGTACAATAAAAACATCCCAAGTCTCAAAAGGATCAAGACAATATAACTTAAATAATTTTGCAGATTTGATCAAATATAACAACCAGTTATGAAGTAGGTCATTTGACTAAAGACAATTTTATTCTATACACAAACAAATAAACAACTCTAAATTATAATTCTCTATCTCTATATTTTAATTATATATATATATATGTGCATTATAAGAAAAGGCACTTTTGGTATAAAATAAATAAATAAATAAATAAAGATTGGTAAAAAAAAAATTAAATAAATAAAGATAATTACACTTACCTCCCCTATAGATTGCCTAAATAATATAACTCTCCCCTATAGTTTAAAAAAAAAACACCGCCCTCCCTTGTCGGAAATAAATTTGACCCGTACGTATTAAATGACTATTACACCCATTGTAATGTTTCATTACAATATATGGACAATAGTTACTTCAACAGACAGAAGTGTCAAATTTTTATAAGAGAGATAAGTGTAATAACAAAAAAAAAGAAAAGAAAAGAAAAAAGGGATAATATCGATAAACAAAGCGGTGGGACATCAACATCACTAATTTTCACTACTCAATTCTATATTCAAGAGAATATCAGCTACCATTCCTTATATACTTTTTTATTTATTTATTTATTTTTTAACACCAACAAACAGATTAAACCATAGAAGAAGAAAAAGGAACAAGCAGGGAGAAGAGCATTTAACAGCCACGGGGGCCATATGCTCCACTCCAAATTGCCACACTCGGCTTCAAGAGCCTTTTTGCTCAAACGATGAGCTACAACATTTCCTCCACGAGGAACCCAAACAAGAAAGGATCTTAAACAAAGGGAAAGAAGAGAACAAATATCCTGAAAAACCAATACCTGACCCTCCACTGAAACGTTGAATTGAATATCTGGCTTGCAATCCCCTTCAATAACGACGTCTTTGTAGCCCCAGCGACTAAAAAACAATAGAGATTCCTTCAACACCAGAGATTCAGCCAACGAAGGGCTAGACACATTGGAAGGAAAAACGTCAACCCTTTGATAGGCCTACCCAGATGTTTCCGAAGAATTGCTCCGCCTCTACAAATTTTATGCGTCGAATTAAAAGCCACGTCAAAATTAAGTTTGAAACAACCCATTGCAGGAGGCGACCACACTGCCGGAGGAGAAGGGACTGGAAGAACCGGCAGCAAAAAAAGGTTATTTTGGTGAGACACCTCATGGAACTCCTGAAAGGCTGCAAAAGCTTTCGTTGCAACATCAAAAGGATCCCAACGTTTCCGTTGAAAAACCAGATCATTGCGGCACTTCCAAATGACCAACAAACAAACGCCGCCAAATTCGTACAATCAGCCGAAACACCAGTCGGCGTCCAATAGGCACATAAATCAAACCATCTTTTTTTCCACACAGATAGAGCGTGAGAAGAAAATTCAATCCAAAGCGGACATAATTTCCAAACCAAACGAGCAAATTCACAAGTAAATAAAAGATAATGAATAGTCTCCACCTTCGAAAGCACAAAGAGGACATTCAAGAGGAGAAGAAACCCCTCTAATTCCGAGCTGGGAGTTAACCGGAATTTGATCGTGCATACACTGCTAGAGAAACAAAATAATTTTCCTATGAGCCTTAATTTTCCACACGTTGTGCTACATAATTTCAGAAATAACATTAAAGCTTGAACTGGCCTTCGAGGAAGGAGGAAGTGGTTTTTTTAGGAGAGAAAAGTCAATATGATAAGCACTTGTGATAGTAAACCTACCATGAAGAGAGGCTCCCCAGACCTTATGATCACCCTGCCGGAAAGAACTCAAAGGAATTTGGAGGGGATTAGGTCTATATCCCGTTGGTTAAAACATCGATCCACCATTGCAACATTCCAGCCATGAAGGGAAGGGGAAAACAAGTCAACAACCAAGGAAAAATTCATCTCATGTTTCTTGGTAGTAACAGCCTGATTACAGGGATCCGATAACCAATTGTTAAGCCAACAATTCACCCTCGTGCCATCCCCAATACGCCATTTCATCCCTGTTTGAATCACCTCCTTAACAGAAGAAATACTCTCCCAGACCAACGAAGCATTGGAATGAGCCAAGGACTCCACAAAGCTATAATTTTTGAAGTATTTAGGTTTAAGATTTTGTAAAGCATAGAATTATCGCCAACCTCCATACGCTATGCAATCTTAGCTAAAAGTGCCATATTAAAGGCTTCGACATCTCGAAAACCCAGCCTCCCAACATCCTTGGATTGACACATATCAGACTAACTAATCCATTTAATTTTATTCGATCTCTCAACTCCGCTCCACCAAAAGTTAAGAAGATGACTAGATAAGGCTTGATAATTCTTTTTTGGAAGTCGAAAGCATTGCATGGAAAAAACCGGAACAGTTGAGAGAACGGATTTCAGAAAAACTTCACTACCCGCCTTAGACATCATTGATCCCTTTAGAAAACTTGCTTTTGCAGAAAGTTTGTCAGAGAGAAAATTGAGAGCTACTGTCTTAGAGCGACCTAAGAAGGAGGGTAAACCGAGATAATTATTATGCTAGTCCACATTGTGAATGCCTAACAACAATCTACATGACACCTTCTGTGAAGAGGATATATTAGGAGAAAAATACAAGCTTGATTTTGCCAAGTTAACTAGTTGACCCGTCAAAGCTATATACCTATCTAAGATAGTTTTGACTCGTTGCACCTTAATATCTCAGGCCCAACAAAACATAAAAACATCATATGCAAACCAAAGATGAGATATCAATGGACAGCCCTGCCCTACCTTGAGACCCAAACGTTAAGAAAGTCGACCTGATGAATTGAATAGGAGTGAAAGACCTTCCGTACAAAAGAGAAACAGAAAAGGAGACAGTGGATCTCCCTGCCTTAGACCTCTAGAAGGAATAAAATTAGCACCCCACTCACCATTAATCAAAACTGAAAAAGACACTGAGTTGATGCACTCTATAAT